ATTATTATAATAAATTATAATAAGTTATAGTAAGTTATAGTAAGTTATAATAAGTTATAATAAGTTATAATAAGTTATAGTAAGTTGCAGCAAGTTATAACAAGTTATGGCAAGTTATAACAAGTTGTAACTTGTGATAAGTTGTGACAAGTTGTGATTTTTATTAAATTTTTTAATAAGTTGCAGTATATAGTTGCAATATAAGTATTGCAACATAGTAATTGTGACTATCATCTTTAATTGATACATCAATTATATTATTTAAAATCATATATCTTTTAAAGATTGATTAATTGGTTAAATCTTTCAAGTTTAAAAAATTATAAAATTAAAGAAATTTATATTACTACAATAATAATATAGTAAATAATTTAATTACTAAACTTTAAATTTTAATATCTTTATAACTACTAATTCAATTTTTATAAAATTTAGAATATATATTTATCAAATTTAGAGTAACTTGCTTACATAGTTTAAAGTTCTAATCTTGCAAATTGATAGTGTTAATATTTAAAATAACTTTTTTTTTAAAAAAAATAATTTTATTTTAGTTTTTTTAGTAAAGTACTGCTTTATTTATTACTGAATTAAAGTATAATAAGATAATTAAAATAGTATAAAAAGTTAATTTAGATTGTTCTTTACTTAATATAAAAAATTATAAAGATTAATTAAAATTTGAATAACTTTTATTAAAAGTAATTATTGATTTTTATATTAATATATTAATTTTTTTGTACTGGTTCATATTATAATATGAAGTGATCAATAATATATAACTAATTAATATTTTACTAAAAGTTTATATTATAATAATATATATATTTAATATATAAAAGTTTGAAATTAGTAATAATTTATATTTATAAAATATAATAAAACTTAAAATAATTTTTTTATATTAAAATATTTAAATTTTTTAATAAATATTTTTTATTTTTAAATTAAATAAAGATAAAATATCTATATTTTGATATATATTTTTTTAGAATTTTTTAATATAATTTAAGAAAATTTTTTTTATAATAAAATAATTATAAAAAATTTTTGTAATTAAATTTATATAATATCAGTATTTTAAAGATATTAAATATTATATTATTATTAAAATTCTTATTATATAATATATTAAAAGATTAATATCTCAATTATAATAAAAAAAGTATCAGATTATATAATTTTTTTAAAAGATAAATTAATTAAATTACAAGATTAATTGTAATAGAAAAAATTCAAAATAAATATTTATTTTTAAAAATAGTTTGTATCTTGAAATTTATCTATAAAATTGCTTTTTTTATTTTAATAAAAAATATTTCTTGCAAAATTTTACTTTAATAGTACTTTATAATATTATACTATTTATAATATTATATAAAATATAATTTTAATCTTAATTATAATTAATAACTATTATTATTATATTTATAATTTTGCAATTTGATTAATTTATCTCTTAAAAAATCACATGATCTAATACTTTTTTTATTATGACTAGAATATTAATCAATTAAATTATGAGTTAATTATTATTTTTATTAAATATATATAATTATATATAAAATTTAGCCAATCAAAAATACTCTTCTAATACTAAAAATTCACTTTATTTACTATTGATTTTTAATTAAAATATTTACAGAAAAAATTTAACTATATAATAAATTTCTAAAATATTTTTTATAAAAAATATATTAATTTATAAATCTTATTAAAAACTATTTAATAATGCATTTTTTTTATCATTATATTTTTTATTTATAAAATCTTTATATTTAAAGTATTAAATATCTTTAAAAAGCCTGCATTATAATTTAATTATAAAAAATTTTTGAATATTTTAAGAGAAATTATTAACTATGTAAATCATTGCCGATTCCAGACTTTTGTATACCGAGTATACGTGTAAACTTTCTTGCATCAAAGTTTTAACTATAAATGACCATTAGTCACGTGTTATAGCAAACCGATCGTATGCTCCGGATTTAGTAGATCTTATCTAACTATCAAACTGATATTAGATAATATCTGTCAATGCCCTAACTATATGTCTATAATTTATCATTTTCTGATCATGATAAAAAACTAATTTCCAAACAATTTATTCATATTATTACTCTTTGCCACATATCATCCATCAAAATGCCCAACCATACAATTCCACCAGTCCATTTACTCATCCTAAACTTTCGTCCACACTCTTTAGCTTTATCAAAATCTGTCTTGTGTACAATCCAAAATAAATGCGTAGCAGACCCAGCAACAGAAATTAAATAAAAGGGTAATCCTTGAGCGTTTGCATATCCTGATAACGCGACTAGTGATACCATTGCACCAGAAAATAGGGACAACCATTTACGTGTGTCAGAGCCAAATAAAAGTGCTGTGGACTTTACACCGACCAGTTTATCATATTCTTTGTCCTAAATTTGGAGTGATGATTCTAATTATTATTTGATAGGTATAATTCTAACAATATCTTAATAATTACTTGATGTGCATAAATTGTATCATAAATCAAGGTCCAGCAGACGCCACTAGCATATAATGGCAAAATCACGATGAACTTGCTGTCATCCAACATAGCAGGCCAACCTAATAAAGCTCCCCAATTGAAAGCAAATCCTATATTTACGTATTTTAAGTTTATTAGTTACATAATTAATTATTTATCAAAAGAAATAGAAGTTTATACCAAGAAATAGTTGAGGCCAATATGTAACGCGTTTCATAAAGGGATATATGGTGACTAAGCTTAGTGATGTTGCACCCAAAAATATGCTATGATAGAACATAAAAATTAAAATTTATGTTAGGTATATACAAGTAGCAATTCATACCTATACAAATTCAATTGTGTCAAAACAGCCAAGCCTGCGGATAACTGAATAGCCAAAAAAGATAATGCTTCGAATTGAGTGATTTTATCAGATGCGAGTGGTCGTGTTCTAGTACGTTCTACCATTCGATCAATGCGACTATCCCACATATCATTTATGGTGCATCCTGCGCCTCTCATCACGAAGGCACCAATCCCAAATAAACCTAGCATTGATAGTGTTTGATTTAAGGGTAGGTTTGCGTGATAGGAGGCCATTGATATACTCCACGCTTTGCATAAAAGAATAAAATTAACTAATTTTTTAACAAAAAAAAAAAAAATCGAAATTCACACTGCAATATTCTCACCGAAATCAATCGAATTGGAAACACACTCGGTGAAATAGCGAATTGGACTTGAAGGAAAAAGATAAGCATATCATAAATATCGAACCCACATAAAATTTCCCGAGAATGATCTTTCCAAGACAATTGAGTGAGAAAGTTGAATCTCTAAATCTTACCACATGGAAGATAAAGCAACCAGGTGCCAGTAGGTTTATCAAGACGAACAAGTTGGGCATAAGGAACAACACTAATCGGAAGTTTTTTATATATCCAAGAGAGAGTACTTTCTTTATATTTATCTTGCTCTTCTTGGTCAGTAACGAATTTTGGCTCGTACGTCAGGGAGTTAACTGAACTATAATGATCGTTATCTTTAACATTGTGAATAGTGATTTTTTTCGTATTTGGTGTTGAATAGATGCGGAAATGACGCGTTCTTTGTGATAATAAATTTCGATAAGATAAATTATCAATTTTTGAAATGTGCTTTAACTTATTCAGCCAACAAGCTGAAGTAAATAACTTGTTTAGTGCCATTTAGAATAAGAACTTCAAGTATTACATTTTACAGTCATGGCGTAAGTAAATAATAACTCAACAATATAACGAGTCATGGAATTAAAACCAAGTGATTTTATTATCCATGTGATCTACTTGAATATATTTTTTCTTAAAAAATTGAATAAAGTCACATGATTTTTGAGCTATGATTTCCTACTCGAAAAAAAGAGCAATTCGATTAATTTCACCACATGTGGAAAATCTTATAAGGAAACATACTAAATTTAAATTTAATTTATCGACGATAAGATCGGAATCAAAAAATGATGTTGAATTGTTTACTGCTCTTGGAATTGAAACATCATGTGATGACACCGCGGTGGGTATAATTCGATCGGACAGAAATATTCTCGGTGAGGCAATAAAGTTACAACAGGAGATTCATGAGCCAAAAGGCGGTGTGGTACCAACCCTTGCAATGGTATATCATCAAACTTTCTTACCGCAAGTGGTGAAAAGCGCTTTGGATAATGCCCGATTGGATGTGGTGCGTGATATTGATGTGATTGCCGTTACAAGAGGTCCTGGATTGGCACCTTGTTTAAGTGTTGGATTGAATGCGGCAAAAACTTTAGCTATCGTCTTAGGGTATTTTTCTTTAGTTTATTGATAAAATTTTTTTTGATCATTAATATAATTAAATGTTTTCATCAGGAAACCGTTAATTGGCGTTCATCATATGGTATCATTAGATATGCATATTTATATTTATTTATATTTGCAAATGAGTCATAATAATAAAAGTTATATCCATCTGTTTAGGAAGCTCATGCATTGACAGCGCGTCTCACAAATCCAGAATTAAAGTTTCCTTTTTTAGTGTTACTCATTTCTGGTGGTCACACTCTAATCCTATTAGCACATGGAATCAACAAATATACTCAACTAGCCACAACTCTTGACGACGCAATTGGCGAAGCGTTTGACAAAACAGCGCGTCTTTTGGGACTCCCATGGTTAAAAGGTCGAAATGGTGGCCCCGGCGCTGCATTAGAGAAATTCGCGGCGGCGGGTGATCCAAACAGATATCAGATCCCAATTCCAATGACAAAAGAAAAGCGGACGAAGGAGAATCCTAATATGAGCTTTAGCGGATTAAAAACTTCTATTAACATTTTGTTAGAAAAAGAAAATTTGGATCTAAGAGATTTTCAAGTCAAAAGAGATGTTGCTGCTGCTTTTCAGGCAACCGCAATACGGCATTTAAGTGATAAATTGAATTTGGCTTTTGATTGGTGTAAGGAACGAGATCTTGCTTTGAATGGATTGGTTGCTAGTGGTGGTGCTGCAAGCAACAAAGCCATTCGTACAAGGTAATTTTGCGTTTCATTAATGAATAGAAGTAAAAATATTTATTCGGATATTACATAATTGAATTTGCATTTTAGCTTAGAAAAACTCGCGCATGATAAATACAATATTGAATTAATATGCCCACCCCCACATTTATGCACTGATAATGGTTTGATGATTGCATGGGCAGGAATTGAAAGATATCGAGTTGGACTAATTGACGATTACACAATTAATCATATCCCTAAATGGCCAATTGAAGAGTTGGGAACAATATCGACAGCATCATCATCGACCAAATATTAATTATTGTTATTAAATATGTATATTGCACACTGGTGTCTGCGACGCTCTAATCCTTATAAGAGACGTCAGTTTAATATGACACACAATATATAAGGATTGATTATACAATACATACTGTGATAAAATTTAATAAAAATCGAAAGTTTTTCTTTATATTAAAATTTATTAATAATACAGTTATTATATATAATAAAAATTATTTTTTAGTTATAAATATTATAAATCTTAATTTCGCCCGCGCGTTTTTGTTGTTGTTCTTCCACGTTTTATTTTTGGTTTATTAGATAATTTAGCAATCTCGGCTAAAATGAGTGAATTAATATTAAAAGATGATCGAAATAGAAATATTGAAAATTTTTAATTATAATACCTTCTTTAGCTTTTTCAATAGCAATCTGTCTTTCCTGTTCCTCTCGTTCATGCGCCTCCTTTTCACGATCTTGTCGTTCTTTTTCTTCCCGCTCTGTTTCTTCAATTATTCGACGTCTTTCCTGAAATAAAACAATATATGAGAAATGCTCACGCATAAATTAATAATTTACGATATATCCAGTCAAAAGAACAAAATGCCAAATCTTTAAATTACCTCCGTAATACCTTCCCATGATGGATCAGACAATAACTGTTGTGTGTGAGTGCTTTGAGATAAAATATTTATCCATAAATCCAATAATTCATCTGTCTGCTCGATATTTTTCGTAAATTGCTAAATATCCAAAATGTCATAAAATAAAGTTTTCTCCTTTTTTTAGAATATTCAAATTATAATCAAGCCAGAAAAAACATACTCGTAGCTTATTTCTTGCCTCTTGCAAATTCTCATTTACTTTACTAAACGTTTTGTTTATCGCCACCAGATCATTATATTCTTCGGTTAATGTCTTAATATAAGAAGATTCACCCGGTAATAATACATCATTTTCCATACTATCCCACATTTCATTGTCATTCAGAATAGAGTTGTCAGGGATTTCTTGGTCCTCTAAAGACATTAAAGACATTTGAAATAGTTGTATAAAGCGCGCGTAGAATTTGAACACGAAATTTAACGTTAACGCGCGTCAATAATTTTTATAAATCATGTTAGATCTCTTATTATAAATGCTAGCCTAATGCTAAAATTATCAATTGTGTTGGCTGAACCCCATTTCTACATTGTTCCTAAAACAGTGATCCCAAAATTAGCTCATTTTGATAAAACAATTGTCATGTTTTCCGAATTCGCAAAAAGCACATTATCGCGGCGTGGTGATTCCTCTATAAATTCAAATCCTTCGGTATTTTTTTCCGTGTCTTCGGTTGCTATAGATGCTGATCCTCAAGAAGCAATACCTTTGCAAGAATCACGGGAGTTTAGTAATGTTGACTATCAAGACGATTATCAAGAAACAGAGCATACATTGCCCATTTTGTCACAACCGCCTCCCTATAATACTCAAGTAAAAATAATTGTTTCATTACATTGAACCATCACTTAGTATTTATCGTAATTTCTTTCGAGTAGATGCCAGCCTCCATTTATCTTGATGAACAACCTCCTTTAAACAATAGAAGAAACTCATTATCTGAAGGATTGCTTTCATCAACCTCTGTAAGTCTTCATTATGATGTTTCCCTCAATTGATGCGAGTATATTGAGTAGTCTTTAAATATATTTTGCGTTAGCTACCCCCTCCATTAGTCTCTACTTCAAAGCAAACCTATAAAGATTCTCCTTTCGCAATTTTATTCTTGGCTGGTATTTTCGTTATAATGTTCAGTGGCATAATATTGCTTTTTAAGACTAAAGTAAGTTTTTATGGTTTAATTGTTAACGAGCTGATATTCTTTTTCCTAAATAAACTAATGTTTAATTGCCAATTTTCCACAGTCCCTATCATGGGATGATTATGCAAAGGCAAAAATTTTTTCTGTGATTTACAATAGCATGGGTAATAATATACGATTTCATTTTAATGGAACATATTCTTCAAATAAATAAGGTTAAATCATACAGAATTCATTTTTTTTATAGACGTTCTGATTTTCGCGATAATTTTTTCAATAGTCTTGAGTTCGATTTGGATTGTCTTCCAACGCATGTTCGTTAGGGTAAAAAGATATATTTTTTATTATTATTATTACTATTACTACTACCATTATTAATGTTTAATATAATCCAGCATTTCTCACCTAGTTAATTCTTATTTTTCATTTCTCAGAGCTTTGTATGGATAATTCTGGCCGCTGTTCCCATCATTACAGCAGCTCTATTTATCTGGATTCTAGTACATTGCTTTTCAGATTCTTTCTGGATAACTGATGAATATACTTCCCAACATAAATGGTACGATAATTTGTTATTGCTGATAATTTATATTTTGTAAAAGAGGTTTTGACTGTATTATCACATTATTCATAGGCTCTTGTTTTTATCGTGGATGCCATTGGTTATTTGCATAACATCTCTAAGGTTAATATATCGCAGAAAAAAAATCGAAGACACGATTACCATCATCCAGGTTCGTAATAATTTTAAATAATAATTTATTTAATTAATTCTTTAATATATTAAGATTTATTACTTAAAATGCAGCTGACTTGCGATATTCTCAAAGATAATCCATACATACTCGGAACTTCCCTTTTAATATTGGGGGCTTATATTACCTTCACGTTAATATGGCTGGTTTTTTTCAGTCGGCTATTTCTACTTGGATCTTTGACGATTGGTAGTTATCAAGAAGTATTATCATCAATTTTTACCGAATCTATCTAACTGCTAAAATTTTAGACATGAATTCTCGCACATATTCGTTTATAACATTTTACATTTTTATGTATTTATGGGCATCTGAGGTGTTTAGTAATATCCAAAGGTAAATAAAATAAGCTTTTTCTTTTCTATTTTTCGAAATATCTAAAGCTGTAATATTTCTTTCATTCAAACGGTGAAAAATAAATATTAGGGTAACTTTAGCTGGTGTTGTTTCAAATTGGTATTTTCACCGGTAAGCCAAGCATAATTTGTATGTATGTCCTATTATTAACATGGTTAATATTAAATATTTTTTATACATATTCTCTAATATTCCATTTATTATGAGTTTAGGCATGTCTCTGAACGTTTCAATGGCAAAATGATTACCAAATTGGCGCTTATCAGAGCAACAACAACATCATTTGGAACAGTATGCTTTGGAGCTTTAATACTTTCGACAATACAAACTATACAATATGTTTATACTCAACTTAAGAAGGTAAACTATAAAAGCGCTAATATTTCTTGATAATATTATTCTTGCCGTGATTGATTTGATAAATTTTGATTGATTTATTTATAAGCGATCTAGAGGCCGCTTGAGTGATATTTTTTACTGTGTTACTGTATGTCTCCATTGCATTGAAGCATTAATTGAAAACCTTAACAATTATGCGTTGATTTATGCTGGTATATCTGGTCATAATTTTTGTACATCTGCTAAGTTCACGACAAAAGTATTTCGTAGAAACTTAATATCTGGCTTATTCGCCGGTAGATAATTAACATATCATTAATTTATTTCTTTCAATATTAAACAAACCTTATTAACATTTCTCTTTCTTATAGACGTTTATACAAAATTTATCTTATCAGTCGGATCCTTGGTTATATCTTTAATATCTGGTATCATTACATTTGCATACGCTACTCATTCGCTTGAATCTCCTTATGGATATGTAGTTGCGATTATAGCCTTTTTAATACCATATTACACTTCAAAATTTTATGCTGGTATCATGTCGAATACGTAAGTCTCTTTCTGTGAAGGGGGTTTTTTTTGATTTACACATTCATTATAAATTATTCATACAAAATCTCACTGATTTATATTCTTTATATTCTAGGATTGATGCACTTTTTCTGTGTTATGCTCTTGATCAAGACAACGACACGAATCATTGTCATCTGGCTCATAAAACATTTAAACCATTTGAATAAATTGCAAATCTTATTATATGTAACATATATATTGTAGGGAATTACAATGATGTAAAGATATTAGATATAATGTAGCTTTAAATAAATACAGATGCTATTGAACTTCATTTGGTATTTGTAATAAATTATAATTAACTTAAAATATCGGATGGTGGAAGAGCTTTTTTATGATTAATGGTTTTTTTCGTCTACCTACAATGGTTTATTAGATCAAAAGATATCAAGAAAATAAAGATCTAAGTGACCAAAAAAGGAACATAATACAAGTATGGTGCAAGATAAAAAAATTACAACTTGAATAGAGAATAAATACAATATAATAGCTAATGAAATACAGCAACAACTTGAATGTCAAGATGTCAAAGTTAATGAATGAACAGTTAGGTAATGTCTTGTTATATTAGAAGCAAAATATTTAAATAAACTTCAAAAATCATTACTTATCAAAAAGCATAAAAAAAATAACTAACATAAGCAAGATAACATTAAGACTTTAATTGAAATCAGATTATTTTTATAGATGAAAGTATCTTTCAATTATATCAGTCAAATAAAAAGATTTAACAATTCATTGAGAAACAAAAAGTATTTTGTATGATTAAATATTCATTAAAAATTCATATTTAAGATTGATTTTTATCATGAAGATTTGATTAATTAGTTTCTTTTAAAAGAAATCTTAATATTAAATATATATGCATTATTTACAAGAAATATTTCTTGACTTTTGCTAAAAAGTTTTTTGATAATGATAATATAAATTGAATTTTGCAGTAGAATAATAATTCAAAACACTAATTGAAAATTTGTAAGAAATAGAAAAAAGAAAATAATATAAAGATACTTTCTTGATTATTGATATTATCAAATCAAAATTCTATTAAAAATGTGTAATAACTCTTAAAAATTAAAATATCAAAAAAAAATTCAGGATTAAAAAGAGAAATAAAAAAAATAAAATAAATTTTTAATAAAATTTGCTATTAATTTGATTAATAATATACAATATAAAATTATAATATTATTAAAAGCTAATAATAACTATATTATATATTAAATATCAAGATTTATTTTCTGCTTTATAATAAAAAAAATTTTTTATTTTATTTTATTCTTTGAGAAATGATAAAAAATTAGTTATTTATATTTATTATTATATATATATATATATATTATATTCTTATCATTATTATTAGTCCTTTTATGTTCTTTTTTTAAAGTATCAAGAACTTATTTTTATGAATCTAAAAACATCAAAAGTACTTTATTACTGATAAATAAATAGATTATAAAGAGTTGAAATTATTAGTAGTTATTATTAATATTAAATTTATCTATTTTATTTAATTTGTTATATATTTTTAAATTTAATATGATTAAAAGTTAATTTATTATAACTTGACAAGCTAGATTTGATTTTTATATTACTCAATCAAATCAAATTTTTAATTATATATTTATTTCTTAATTTATATATTTATATTTTATTTTATAAATTTATAAATTTATTTTTAAATATAAAGTTATAGCTTAAAGATATTTAATAATTTAAATATATATTTAGATATTTTTATAATATATAATTTTGTATTTAAAGAATATTTTTATCTTGTAAGTAAAGAGTAAAAATTTTGACTTATCTTAATTTTGATTTTGATTTTGATTTTTAATTTAGATTTGACTTATAGTTTTATTTTGTATTATATGTATAATCTATTATAAAGTATTAAGATCTAAAAATAGTAATAATGAAAAAATATAATAATAAAGAATTATTATTAGTAAATATATTTTAAATTTTATTTGCTTTCAAGAATTATCTTTATAATTTAATATTATAATCTGATATAAAGTAATTTATATTTTAGAATAAAATTTTTTTACATATAATTTTATTTTTTTTAAAAAAAATCTAATAGATATTTGAATTTAAAAATTTTATTATAAATTATTATTATTATTAAGATCATTCTTATCATTTATTTTTTCATCTAATAAAATTAGATCATTATCTAACTTTTGATATTTTTTTATTCTTGCAAGTACTCTTCTTTAAAATTCAATTATTACTTTTAATATTATTTTTTCTTTAAAAATATATAAAAGCTTATTTTTAATATCTAAAAAATTTAAATGTGAATCTCATCTTTTATCATCATCTAGATATTCTTAATTGATTAAAGTTTATAATAATAAAAAAAAATAAAAAAAACTTGATAACCAAATTATTTTATTATTTTAATACAAGTAAATAAAATTTTTTTTATTTTTCTTTACAAGTTCTAAAAGTTTAAATTTATATATTTATTAGAAAAAAAATTTAATAATTAGTTAATTAGTTAATTAGTTAATTATTTTATTTTTATAATATTTAAAATTAAAATATTTTTGATTTATTACTTATAATAATATATATTATCTATATAAATAATTATTGAGCTATATATTTTATTAATTATTTCATAAAGTATTATGAAAAGATTTTTAAAAATCTTTATATTAAAGTTTTCATAATAATCTACTTGATTAAAAATAATATTAATATTTTTAATAATATTTAAAATATTATTCTATTCTTTGATATTATATTATTTTTATTTTTAAATTCTAAAAGATTTAATTACTAAATTTTAAAGATAAATAAAATTTAAAATAAGCTTATTATATATTTTATTAAAATAATATTTTGATAAGAAATCTATATATTTAATAATATATAATACAAATAATAATATGATTTATCAAGAAAATTTTTAAAGATATAAAATATTATTACTATCTTTTAGATTAATAAAATAATAATAAAGATAATAATAGTAAAATATAATATTATTTGATAACTTATAAAGAATATTTCTTTATTCTTTTAATTATAATAATAATCTAATATAATATTTGAAAAAGTTACTCATTTTCATGATTAATCTTGCTTTTTGTGATTACTGATAGAGCTTTCTATAATTAATTTATTTTCTTTCTTACTTGATAAACTAATATTATCTTTTTATAAAGTTACAATTTTTCAATCAATCTAGCTTTTAATTCAAATATATTATATAATAATTTTTTTAGTTTTTTATAAAGTGAAATTATCAAAATTTAAGCTAAAATCTATAGAAATATATTACTTATCAAATAATATATTATCATTTTTATTACTATCTATTTTATTAAAAAATTTAATTTGATATTAAAGACTTAATATCTTGAGTTATAATTACATAATTCACTTCAAGCTTGTTCTTAATCTCATATATATTAATTAAAATAAAATACTTCTTATCATTATATATAAGTTTTAATAATTATTTTAATATAAATAAATTATAATTATATTTATTAAGTAATAAGTTAGATAAAATTAGTATTAATTTATAATATTTAACTATAGCAAAATCAAAATAAATAACACAATCTAGAGTAAAAATTATTAATATATTATATATAGTTTTGATAGATTTAATATGAATAATAACTCTATTAAGCTTATATTTTTATTTGAATTTATTTTTAACTTTATATACTTAGTAATATCTTTAATTATAATAGAAAAGTTAATAAGTAAATCAATTTTATTTACAAGAATAATTAGATAATTAATTTTATATTTTATAATAGTAATATCTATAATAAAATTCTTTCTTTAAATGAAATTAATTCCTATAGGATCATTTAATATTTCTTTTTTTTATTTAAATTAGATATATTTGAAACTGGATTTCAATAATTTTTGAAGTCTAATACTTAAATAGATAAAGATATAATAGATAGATTTTTAATTTGAGCTAATATACTAGTATCAATTTTAAATTTAGTTTCTTTAATCAATATATAAGTAAAGCTTTCTCAAGTATATCTAATATAATCTTTTAAAGAAAAGTCTGTTTAATATAAGTTAATTTATTTTAGAACTTATCAGAGTTGGAAGTATTTTTTTATTTCTTCTTACAAGTTTTAAATTTTTATTTTTGTGAGAATAATTTACTAAAGTCAGTTTTCTAATTTACTTTTTTTTTATTTTATTAATATTAATAATCATATTTTCAGTTTCAAAGAATATATCATTAGAATTAGACTTAATTTTAAAATCAGAATTATTATTAAAAAGTTAGTATCTAAATCTGATTTAGAATTTAAATTTATAATAATCTTGTTAACTTTATTTTTATTTTTAGATTTGTTTTTTAACTTATTTTTCTTTTTACAAGGATAGAAATACTTACAAGAATTATATTCAAGACTTTAATAATTCAAATATCCATGCTGAAATTAAAGATATTATCTCAATTAATTATAACTTGTGATAGTTAATTAAAGAATTATAATTAATTATAATAGCTAATTAAAGAATTATAATCAAGTTATAATATTATCTTTAGTTAAAATAATATATTAATAACATATATTACTTTTATTTTTTGCAATATATATTTATTGAAAATCTAATTATATTTTTTATGATTTTATTTATATTATTAATATTAGATAAGATATTTTTTTTTCTTAGATAAAAAAAATGTAATTTTATCAATTACTTCTTTATTATTAATATTTATAAAAGTTTATAAATAAAATATATTTTTGACTATAGCATTAAAATATTCTAATATATTAGGTATATTTAAATATAAATTAAGATTTTAATATATTTTATCCAATTTTATTTGACTAGATTATAATAATTTAGACTTATCTTTTTGATCATATCAATTTTGTTATTTTTTTAATATAGTTATTATTATTTGAATTTTTCTATTTACTTTTTTAGTATTTGAAAATTTTTTGAAATAATTTATATTAATTTTTATTATTAATTATATATTAATATATATTAAAATAGATATTTAATATATATTGATATATATTAAAGTTATTAATATATATTATTTAATAATATAATTATTAAAAATTATTTTTTAATAGTATTGTAACCAATCAGCTTATTCATGTGACACAGTAGACGCGACGCAGTAAATGGCGCAGCCACAGCACATGGCGCA